CAATCAATCAATCAATCAATCAATCAATCAATCGTTCAAGGATGAAAGTTAGTTGGTGTGTGTACTGTAGAAGGTATCGTTAGGCGATCTCGGGATCGATCGATCGGCGATTAACGCGGTCAACGTGATCGCTTCAACCCACGAAACGTCGACCCACGACGACACGAAACGGCGAAGGCGAAACGCAATGCAAACCCATAATTTCTTCGCCACTCTCGCGATTCCTCCGTTAAATTCGATTACGACCTATTTCCAACCTTACACCCTAGATAACGCATAGATATACGCATATGTTTATGTGTCATAATAATTATATATATATACACGACTTTCCTCTTATGTACAGTAATCGCAACTATTAGGGTTCTCGTTACGTTAGTCCATCAAGCCCTTGCAGGATCTTTGAAATCTTTTTTTTTTTTTTCTTTCTTTTTAGAGACGCGTGGCAGCGTTAACTCCTCTTGTCCAACTCTCCACCACCACCCATTCTCCACCCCCATTCCCCCTTTCTTCTCGAATCGAGATCGATTTCGCGCGTAGCAAATCGATCGATTTTCTGGGTCGTCCAACATTTAGACGAGCGTGATTTTCTTCGCTTTCGTGATAGAAAAATCGTAGAAAAAAGCGACCGGTAGAAAATATCGCGACGACCGTATTCGTTTCAGAACCCTCAGAAACATTGTACGCGCGAAAAGGAATCCTATTCTCGCGATATTTTCCCCTCAAATTTTCCCCTTTCCCACTTTTCGCTCAAGATACTTTCTTGTTATATTGAATATAAAGAGGTTTGTTTTTTTTTTTTTTTTATATTAAATATAAGAAAATAGTATCGTGTAGAAAAGGGAGCGAGTTTAATTCTAATATCTAGGGGAGAATATGAAGGCTCCTCGTTGAATATCCATCGTTCGAATGGGTGCATAGTTTGGAGATTCCTCCCCAAATTGGAATATTGGCAACGCGCTTACACACGGTAACACTTGTTAACTATTTATACTCCTTACGATAGATTCGTACGGTTAATCGTGTATGGTTTATGATAAACGTGCATGGATAATTGTCTGTTCGTTAAAATTCTAACGTGAGAATGTGATCGGGGATTGTCCGACTCCTTTCTTCTATTTTTTGAGCGATTTCATTTTTTTTTTTTCTTTTTTTTTCTCTCTTTAGGATGGATTATTATTGTTTTTTTCTTTTATTTATTGACGCTTGGTTTTATAAAATTGATGGTGAGATATAAGATATCGGGTTCGTGGATATTTACAAGTGTGTGAAGCGTAAAGAAGATTTTCGAAAATGGCGATACGTGATCCAGTACGAATCGTGAAATCTTTTTTTTTTTTTTTCGTTTTAATAATCGTTTGTGAATTGTTAAAATTTTGTATGCACGTGTTACGATTAAGCGAGTTTTGGAATAATTAATACGGATACGATTAATTATGTGATGTTCAATTCGAAACGGAACTTAATTAATTTGAATTGGATCGAATACAGCTGAGGTGGATTTGGACGAAAAGCATATCGATTCGATCTAAATTACATTTCATTTGAGTCGAATGATGGACTGGATTATATTGGATTAGGCATAAGTTAGATCTCAATTACATCTAGATTAGATTTCGAAGATTAATTGCTCTGGATTTAAGTTAGATCAAAGTTCTTCATCAAAGTGCTAAATTGAATTTTATGATAAATTCAAAATATATACAATGTTATATATCATCATTAATTTCGTAATTTTATTGCTTTATTGCCAAGTCTTTCATCGTAACACGTGCAATAAAAACACGAAGAAATTCTCATCAAAATTAAATTTTTCAAATTTTAATAAAATTTATAACAAGAACAACGTTCAAATATTGTTGGTATATCTTAATCTATGAATTAACGATGATATTTATTACACGATTTTCAAAGAAAGGAGTCTGACATACACAATATATCCCCAATATTGTGTGACTTGATCGATGAATTATACTTTCTTTATTACGCGATCTTCGCGTAGACTCTGGTTCGTCCTCGTACATACGAAGCTACTCTGTTTCATATGATATACGTTTGTTTCACTTATTCGAGCCTCGTACTGAGAGAACGATCGAAATACATTCGTTAAAATTACTCATAGCTACGCAAAAACTTTTTATTATTATTTATAATTAAAATACTTTGTTATAAATAAATGGATAGATCTTAGAGATATATAAAAAAATATTCTGCCATATAATTAAAATATTACATACTGTATAATATTGTGAGTATGCACAAGAAGAAGAAAATTCGTTTGTTTCTAATTAAAATTGTTGATTCTTAAGTTTAGAAAGTTATGAAAAAAATTCACAAATGGAATTTTTAAATTAATTTTAAAAATCATGATTAAAATAATGAAAATAGTTTTAGAAACAATTTTATTTCTCTTTTAAAAAATAAAAACTTATTTTTCTCGAGAATATCCCTCTTAAGAGAATTTTTCTTGAATACTCACGATACGATTATATAAATAATATAGGAACAGTAAAAAAATCTATGCTAAAAGCTACAAACTAAAAATCGAAGGCAAGAAGTGCTGCCTCTGTTTTTTTCCCGTAGTTTAAATACATTCTATCCAATAAATCTATACAATAAATTGTAAAATAATACTAACTTACGAACAATATTTGTACATTTATCGAATACATTATTCAAAAGCCAAAGAAACTACAATAATTCGTTCATTCGAAAACACAAGCTCAACTTGTTTCAAAAAAAAAAAAAAAACAAAAAAAAAAGATTGTGCAGAGAGAAGTGTACAACACACAATACGTTTCTATAAATAATAAAATTAAAATAAAACAATGTACACATTTTTAATGATACGTTTTACCATGCGTGAACGCATGTTTTTCCATATTTTATAAACTATGAATAGCTTTTCGCGAACAAATCAATGATTCACAATCATGCCGCGTATATTTCGACAAAAATAAAATTAAAATTCGATATTACAGAATCGTTCAAATTAATATAAATTAAATCTTAAATGTCTAATGACTGCAATGGTGTTTCTCTCAGTACGCGAAGCTGCGAATCAACGAGCGGAAAGTTCGACAGTCTATTTTTGCATTTCCTTCGCATAGATCACGATCGATTCATCTTCCTGTTCGCGTGTCTCTGAAAAACGAACTTTCTTTCTCTTTCCCTCTCTATCTCTCTCTCTCTTGGTCCCTATTTTTTTCTCAAAATTCTTTTCCCTCTGGCCGTCATTTATCTCCTCGAAATTCTTCTTCCCTTTTTTGTCCCGGGTTCATTTGGAGAACGCATGAAACGAAAAGCATGATCGTTACGACTTCTCTACTCGACTGGATCTCCCCTAGATCTCCCCCAGATTTTTTTCTAGATTCTTCCCTCTGGTTCGATTTCTTCAATCCAGAACGAACACGAACGTTCATTCCATAGAAAAAAAAAAAAAAAATAGAAAGCTTCGTTCCATCGATACGCTTTCTCCTTTTCTTTTTTATTTTTCAATCGTATATCGATATCCAGTAGAGAGAATTGCGCGATACCGGTAAAATAAATAAAACTGTATAAATCCTCCTGTGAATTTTCCAGGGTATCGCCAACTTTCCATTAAAGTTTTTCTAATATATCGCTTACAGTTTACAACCGCGTACCGAAGTCGATCTATCATTTCTGATGCTTTCGTGACGTTAAAAACGTCCCCCGGTAAAATTCATCGACGAACGAAACTTCGAACTCGTTAAGTTTTCCCCAGTAAGCGCAATATTCGAAAATTGTTTAAATATCATCCACGTGGAAATTTCTCAGCAGAAAAATTATCTATTACAGATACCGTCCCCGTCATGGAATCGAATCGAATCATCGATTCGAGAAAAATTTACCAACTTTTCTCTCCACGTGTGCGAAACAAATATTCGAATCTTGCGTGTTGGACGTCTCTCGACCGCGTTCGAAATTCTCGAAAAAGAAAAAAATCGAAACGATCCCATCGTAGGGACAATGAAAACCTTTCTTTCGAAAACGGTGCGAACAGCTATAGGACCTGTGTTGCCCAAGCAAGTGTCCTCTCTTTCTAAACTCGTCAAATGATTATCCTCCCTTCTCTCTTTCTCTCTTTTATGCCAATTCTACACGCCATTCTCGTTCGTTAAGTACGTGCACGACGACCGTCGTCTGCTACTATACGTGTAACCTAGAACCTTAAAACGACAACGTTCGAGCTTACTCTACAGGAACGAACCTATTTCTTCCTTTTTTATCTTTTTTCCATTATCCTCTGTTCCACACCTAGGAGTTTTCGTTAGCGTATATCAAAAGGACTATGTACAAAAAAGGGTCGACCAGGCGGACGAGACGTTTCCCTCGAATACGTGGAACGTTTCGCGTACAGAGTGGTCGAGTGAAACGTTTTTCCGCTCTGGCCTCGGGCTTAGGAACTATACTTACTGCTACGCGATACTGTTCAGTGTGAATTCTTTTTTTTTTCTTTCTTTCCTTCCTTCCTTTCTTTCTTTCTTTCTTTTTTTCTTCGTTTTGACAGATCGACTTTGGTTTCTTTCTTGATGGATCGAGGGATAAGGGTCGTCGATCTGTCGACGATCTTGAATCGGTGCAGTCGAGCCCGATGGAAAGTTGGAAATTTTGGAGGAATTTATTCGGAGAGTTTTTCGATGATGAGATATTATGTGAAGAATTTTGATATTATATGGGGGGAGAATAATGCTCGCGGTTGAATTCCTGAAAGTTTTATTCGATTATTAGATTTCGAAAATTCGTAAAGATTGGAAAATGGAATTTCGATTGGAAAATTCGATTTAAAAAACGTTTAAAAAATTCGTAACTCAACTCGATACGAAAATTTGTCAAAAATTCATTTATACACACTGCGTTATATATATATTCAACGCACGAAAGGTATCATTGAAAGGAAGAAGTTTAGAATCTAGTTTCTAATAATTAAAATCGTGAATTATCTACGACTGCACCGATTCTCCTATATCTAAACGATGTCCTTAAATGACGCGAGATCACTACGATGAATCATTTTTTTTTTTTTTTTCCCTCCCCTTCGTTCTATCGTTTATCGATCGCGAGCAAATCGCCGCATTTTCTGGATTTTCTTTTCTCCTCTTCCTCCATTTTTCATCGTCGTGCAGGCATCTCGTTCACGATTCAAGTGTTCTCCGCTATTTTTATCCCTCTCCTCTCCCTCTCCCTCTCTTTCTCTCTTTCTCTTTCTCGATGTATCTCTTCTCTTAACGTCTTCTCGCGGGAGAGATTCTCGGTTGATTAATGCTTGGAACGAAATTTTAAAAGAGCGCGTCCTCTGTCTCAATATCGCTCCCATTCGACGCGGTGTATGGTTGCTCTTTTTCACTGAGCGTTCAGTTCAGACCTGTCAGAGAGGATGTCAAAGAGAAAAAAAGAACGTAATTTAATTTTATTGAAACTTGTACGAGAGAAATTACGAAGGGATGA